GCGGAGGTTCTGACCCTCACCTCTCTCCAGGCCTTCCGAAAAGCCATTAAAACCTGGCTGTGTCGGCAGGCCTGGGGTTGATGAGTTCCCTTCCCCTCTCGATCTGTGTGGCTGTTGCCTATTTTTAAATGCTTGTATTGTGCTTTTGTGTTTCCCTTTCCCCCTTGGGTTGTTCGCCACCCTGAGTCCCGCAGGGAATAGGGCAGCATATAAATAAAACAAACCTCAAACCTTAAACCTCAAACCTAAGCAAAAAGTTGTGGTCTATAAAGACATATTAATCTAATCGGTAAAACCCAAAATCAACGTTTCTTTTTTTTCCACCCCAAACACAAAGTTCAGAAGCGGTTTCCATGTGACCACAAAGGTACTTATATTCTTTAATCAAAAGGGTCAGTTTAGCCATTTCTGCCAACTCCATCAGCTGTAGCCATTCGTGCATGGTGGGAATCGGACTGCCCTTCCAATTATGTGCATACAGTAGTCTTACTGCTGTCAATATATATAAGATCAAAGTTTTGAATTTTTTCTCCAAGTCTTTTCCATTATACTCAAAATAAGTTTCTGGTTTCATCTTTATCTTCGTTTTAAGAATTACCTGTATTAAAATAGGAATCTTACTCCAAAATTTCTTTGCTTTAATACATGTCTACTTCCCACATTCATTAGAAATCTCTTTATGCATTCTAGATAATTTATCCGATGTTAAATACCAGCGATACAAATAATTCAACACTGTCAAACTATTTACTAAGGCTGCATTACTATTCCTATCACCCATCTCCTCCCACTTATGACTGTATGACTAACTTTGTTGCTTGAATCCTTACGATGTATATTGATTGTTTCCTAGTATGATTTGATTGCTTATTTGTGCCCTATGACACCTTATGATTTGTGACAAATGTGTCTTTTCTTTTATGTACAGTTGATTTTTGATTGATTTATTACATTTATATGCCACCCTTTTCCCCGAAGGGGACTCAGGGCGGCTCACAATTCAATCAACACTGAGAGCATATGCACTAAGGACAAATTCCTTGTGTGTCTAATCACACTTAGCCATTGAATAATTCTGTCTGTCTGTCTGTCTGTCTGTCTGTCTGTCTGTCTGTCTGTCTGTCTGTCTGTCTGTCTGTCTGTCTGTCTGTCTATCTATCTATCTATCT